AAAAAAAAAAAAAGAAAAAAAAACAACAACAACAACAACAAAGAGAAAAAGAGCATCCCACAAATAATTTCAAGGAAGCAATAGGATTAATGATCAAATCATAACCATCTTTTCAATTCGAAGAGACAAATAACTCGACAAGTACGCCAACCTTAAAAAAATTATTTCTAGCCGTTTCTTGCAAGTCTATTCTTGAGATGATGGCCAAACAAAAATAACATGATTTCGGCAGAAAAAATTACTCTGCACGTTCCAAAAATGTTTATCAATGATAAAAGTGAAGAAGGGGGTTTGGTTTATATCATGGGAACACAGACCAATAGTTAGACAATTTTATTGGTCAAGGCTGGACTTGACAATGAAATTTTGGCGGCTGATGGGGTTCATGACCACAGGAGGACCTGCAGTGCGGGGCCATGCCTGGAACTTCTTGTCGGTCTCGAGCAACCATTCTTTACTCGAGACAGTTGAAGGAGTAGAACCTGCAATCGAGATGTAATGTTAATTAAAAAAAAAACGAGAGAAATTTAATCATTAAATTCAAGATATGTAAGAATCAGGAAAAAAAAAACCTCCAAAGATCTTGCGGTCAGAAACCAAATTGTCACTGACAAAGGCGATAGCAACAGATCCAAGCAAAGCAGAAACGATGTATTTAGCACTCATTTTTTTTTTCCTTTTCTTTAACTGCAAAAACAGAACAAAAGAAATTAGATATCCATGATCATTATCTCATGAACAAGCATCAACGTTTTGGACTTAATTGGAAAAAACAATGCGAGATACAACCGCTAGTGGACGATTTGGAACTTTAACAGCTTGATGATAGGATGGAACACAACAGTACACAACAACAGTATTGACATCTAAGATATTGAACCCAATATTCCACCAAGTGAACCATGGGTTCTAAACCGGGTCAACATGTGTACTGTATACAGAGTGATGACCTATTTCAATGTAGCCATTATCTTGAGAAAACAAAATTACACAACTTTCATTAATTATGACGAAAGAAAACTCTTCTTGCCTATCAAAAAACATCAGCTAGACCAAGTAGGAAAGAACAGAATCTAAAACTTTTAAGATTCGATGACACCTTTTTTCAAGAGCCACCAAAATAGGCACGTGTAGCATATCAAATCAATGATGATTCTCAACACAACCATCTGATTTCAGAATCAACCAACCCATTAATCTTCAACAATGTTTCTCCAAGAACCATAAACCACAAAATAACCCCTAGAATACCTACTTGCACACGCACACGCAAAATCAAACTCAACGAAAATACCAAAAACACTCGAAATACCTATAAAAATAAGCAAACCCATTTGCACCACTAATCCAGAACCCTAAACAGGAAGCTTGATCGGCCATCATCTTACCATCCCCTGACCTCATAAATCAGCCAGGTACAGAATGCGGCAAAATACACACACCCAGAGGCGAAGCTAAGAGAAACGTAAATCGAAACCCAAAAACGAAATCCCAAAGAGACATGAAATCAAAACCTAGAAATTGAATTTCGCGAGCAAAATGACATCACATACATTTTCATACACATGGAAACATTGAAATCAGGACCTTATTGATTAATTCAGTTAACATCAAGCAAATAGTATAAATTCGCAAAGAAGTAAATCAGAATCCTTACCTTGACGAGAGAAGTTTCTAACGCGATGGGTCTTTCTGGAGAAAACAGAAATGAAAGAAAATGAGATTATTTTATGGCTGGAGATTAGGAGAGACAAATGAAATCGTCAAAGCCTAACAAACACTTTACGACGTCATTACTTGTTGTACTATTTATATTTCCCTTCCTTTAAAATAGAGATACTTGAAATTTTGATGGCGTTACTATTTACCACTCCCTATTACTACATTCCGTCCCTTTGGTCCATTTTGTCTCTATTATTTTTTTAAATACTTCAAAAAATTATAAAATCCTCTTTACTAGGCGATTTCGGTAAAAAAAAATGCCTTCCGACCAGGTGAGCTTTCTGATCGACTGGCCGGCGAAACTGGTCGGACAGGCATCGGCCAACCGACGATTGCGGCTGGGCTCGATTATGCCGGCCGGCAAGTTTGATCGGGCCATTGTTGCCCGCAATCTACGGCGGGCCATGCCCATACATGGCCGAACTTGCCTGCCGGCCGGACCGAGCCCGGCCGATTACGTTGGCCACAAATTGTTTTTTTTTTTAGAATTAGTTAATTTTATTTACGAACAAAATGATATTAGTAAAAATTATTATGTTATAAATTAGAGTTGATTATCTTATAAACTAGAATTTATTATTATTATGTTAGAACTTAGAAATTTTATGTTATAAATTAGAAATTATTATTTTGTAAAATTATTATTAACATCGTAGTATATTACAGGTGTCATTGGAAGATTTTGGAGGAGACGGTTTTGATTACAGTGCTGCTTTCCATACAAATAATCTATTTAGTAGTGATCAAGAAGCTATTAGATGGGCAAAAGAAATTGAAATTATATATGGTTTCCAATTGGTCATTTCAAAACACAAAAATGAAGGAAAGTTGAAGATTTTGAAGTGTTCGTGACGGGAATGTTACAGAGGTTGTTTAAATGATTTAGATAAATGCCCTTTTGAGATAACAGCCAAACAGGTCTGCGATCTACATATTGGATTATTCATGCAAGTTCTGATTGTAAGAAAGGAATGCATAATCATGCTATCCTGAGGGTCATCGATAGATGAGCGGACTTAGTGCTTCATCTGAAAAGATTGTCTATGATATGCCTGCTGCTCAGGCAAAACCAGTAGTAGTTTTGGCTGCGATTCAGGATAAAAACACGACAGACAACGCTACTCGGTGACATGTGTATAACTATAGAATTAAATTGCGGAGAGATAGTTTCGAGGGTAGAGATGTGACTACCCAGATTCTGCATTTGGCTATGGATAATAATTATATAGTTTATATAGATGTTGATCAGGACACACAGGCGTTAACACGTCTGTTCATGTCGCATCCTCAAGCAGTCAGTTTATTCCGAACATATCACTGGTACGTCGGTATAGATTCGATGTACAAAACTAAAAGGTATGTTACTTTATAAATAACATATTAGTATGAATTTTAATTAGTATGTTTGAGTAGCTTTTTAATTCTATGTTTCTTCTTGTTGCTCTCATTTACACAGGTACCAAATGCCGTTGGTGGAAATTATTGGGATGACGCCGTACGACAAGAACTTCTTACTTGCATATGCAATTATCAAGGACGAGAGCGAGTACAACTACGACTAGGTTCTACTGAGGTTGAGACTTCTGATAGTGTCTGAGGTACATCCTAATGTCATTGTCACTGATAGGAAGTTGAGCTTGATTACTCCTATTCGAAGGAATTTTCTAGAATCTGCCCACTTACTTTGCACGTGACACATCAACAAGGATGTGAAAGACATGATCTATCAACTCCTTGGAAAAAATAAGGACTTCGCTCAGAAGTTCGCGCACGACAGGTGGAAGAAGGTTGTCCAAGCGTGTACGAAGGATGAATACAACACTGCCGTAGGCGAAATGTATGTTCGGTACGCGAATTTTCAGAACGTGTTACAATATGTGGACAAGACATGGTTAGTCCAAAAGGAGAAGTTTGTCAAAACATGGACGAATTCGATAACACATTTTGGTAACACAACTTCGTGTAAGGTGGAGAGTGTCCACGCTGTGTTGAAGCGGTGGCTTAACACGTCAACCGGTTCGCTCGATACAGTGTGGGAGAAGGTTCATAAGAAGATTGGGTCTCAACTGACTCAAGTCAGATACATTTATTAAGCTACACATATTTACTGTGTTATTAATGCATTAATTATGAATTTCATTGGGTATCATGTTATGTAATTATGAAGAAAGACGTTATGTCCAATTAATTGTAATAGTGGGATTGATTTGGGCTATGAACATGTGGCCTTGTTTCGATGTGATCTCGTTGAGGCTTTGATTTTTTATTTACCAAATGTTTCTTTTTCTCTATATCTGTTTTATCCATATTAATAGTTTCTATAAAAGGATGTTGAGAAATTTCTGTGGTGATTTCTAATTGTATTTATTTATAAAATAATTATTTTATTAATTTTGTTGATTAATTAAATAACTAGCGTGTCAGATCAGACAATTTTTTGTAGCCATGATATCTATATCTCGATTTACATAATTCATTCTCAATTCCATTATTTTTTGCAGAGCATAAGTAACCTAAAAATGACTAAAATGACAAATGAAATTCTTTTTACCATAAAATTGAAAATAAAAGGAAAATTGAAGGAAAAAAAAATAGATTTTTCATGTTAGCCTGTCTTCACAGGATCTCTTATCCAACAACAATCACAATATCGTACACCTGTCCAATCCGAGGGCCGAAAAAAGTCTAATGCCACCAGGCCACAATCTTGACCACACGTTCGCCCGTGTTGGAGGAGCAGTGGCCTCAAGAAGATGCTCATTTTCACCATCCGACGAATCACGGTTATCGGTTTCATGGGGTTCACCTGGACCCTGTTGCACCAGATCAGGGCCACCGACCTCAGAAATCTCTCCAGGTTTCTTGTCGAACAATCCCTTAAATTGTTGACGAGCTCGTTTGTGAACCTCCTGCATTCGTTAAAAAAGGTCTTAACTCAGAGTGATGCTAACAGTAATAACAGGAAAAAGTAAAAACCCATCCAAATTAGAGCTTTTTTTTTTTTTTTTTTTTTNTTATAAATTACAGTCATAGGAAAGTTGCTTTTTACACCAACCTGTTCTTCCTTTTTAAGTTTAAGGATAGCTGCTTTAGCAGTTGATTCCGATGATTTGTCCATCATCATCTACAAAACATGAGGTATAGTTTAACGAGTGTTGGAAAAGGCAAAAATTGCATTTTTAGTCATGCTGGTTTAACGCCATAGCAATTTAGTCTCAAGCTTTCAACATTTCATTTTTTGTTCCCGGGATTTAATATTTTGCTGCAATTTTAGTCCTCAAAGGACTAAAATTGCAACAAATTACCAAATTCCCAGATTTTCGATTAGCAATTCAAATCAAGTAACTTAATATTTTGTTGTAATTTCAATCCTGTAATTTAATTTTGTTTTTTTGCAATTTTAGTCCTCTGAGGACTGAGGACTGAAATTGCAGTAAAATATTAATCTTAAATCACACGTAAAAAATTAGAATCTTGAGACTAAAATTGTTATGACGTAAAGGACTGAAATTGCAGCAAAATATTAAATCGCAATACCAAAAGGCAAAAAGTTGGAATCCTGAGACTAAAATTGCTATGAAGTTAAACTAACAGAACTAAAAATGTAATTTTTAACCTATAGGAAAAAGTAACAAATTTTGGAACGTGTCTTTGAGTAAAGATGACATATTTCACCTTATTGAAATCTGCTCTAGCTTCTTCAAAATCTCCAGCAACCATGTGTGCCATTCCTCGGCGGTAAAGAGCTTTCGAATGAACCGGGTTAGTGTCCAATACCTGTATATATATATATATATATATATATATTAAAATAAATCGAAATATGCACCAAACTAAAATTGGAAAAAACCATGAATTAACTAAATTACTCGTGTTCGTAACCGAAAAAAGTTTGAAGGATTGATTACCTTGTTACAAGCTTCAATTGACTTTCTGAATTCGCCCAGCTTCAGCCAACAGGCAGCCATGTTCAGATTCAACAAATTCTTCAACCATTTTGCAAACAAGGGGGAAAAAAAAGTAACCACATAGGAAAAGAACATCCTCAATAATAAAAAATGAACCCAATTTCGGAAAAATATAAACTTTAAATGTGTGAATGGTCAGAAACCCTTCAAGTACTTACTCTTGTGTCTGAAAACTCTTTTCCCTCATCGTCATCTTGAGGATTAACGTGATTAAATTCCCGAAGCACCTGCATGAAAATAAGCAAATTCAGTTCATACAAAGTTTGAGCAGGAAAAACTTCTAAATAATTGAGTTGTAAAGGAAGGTTGTAAGTGCTCATGTATGTCATACAGTTGTGAACAGCTCTAGAGTAGGAGAAATCCAAGGACCTCAAGATAAGCAATTTGTGTAAAAGTAGCAATGAGGTTTTCCATTTAAAAGAAAAGACAAAACAATAAACAAATATAAAGAACTCCATTACGAAAAAGCAAGCATAATATCCACCTCCAATATACACAATATACAGAAGACAGTTTATTGTAAACTCAAGTGCTGCTTTTTAGCGTGTTCACCACAGAGTATGTACATAAACTTAAACAGGTAAGAGTAATAGAGACACTCACATGCTCGTATTTGGCCTTGGCAAGTTCATATTTGCCTTCTTTGAATAGCCTATTACCCTGAAATAAATGGAGACTGCAATTAATTAATCTAAGCATGGACCAAGCTCAAGATATTTTTTAGTTCTGTTCAGAGCTAGAGTGTAAAATAAGTTTTTGAACTATTCATCTTCAAGTAACATTATACCGTGCCTTTAATCTTCTCAACATCCTCCATTATCTCTCTGAAGTTAAAGCCATTCCAGTCCTGTACCAGCAAGGCACATATTCAGGTACTATGTAATAAAGATACCGTTATAGTATGTAATCTTCAATTTCCAAGTATTGAATGTAGAAATGTGAGTCTGAATTATGTGATAAGTTATTCACTACTATAATTCCTGGAGTATTTTACTCGTTTCTCAGATTGATTTAATCGTTTCTTTCAAGGTCTAAAATCTGCAAACCTTTTGCTTCTCATAATCAAGAAGCTCAATCTCCCATTGGATGTAAGCACCTTGAGGAACTTCGGCCGGCCTATTTCATATTTAGAAAAGAGAAAAAATTAAATAAAAATAAGGCTAGTTACAATTTAATTCAAATGATCACAGGCATATACTAAAATTAACCTTGAGAACTTGTCGTAAGCATAATCAGGGGGGCATGTGACAAGAGCTATCTCCCCAGGCAACATTAATCGGGTGCACATTTCAAATCCTTCAGGCACCTAAGAACATATAAGCATATTAAAACATCAACATATTTAATATTAAATAATAATCAAGTATTGTCATGATAAGTTGATAACATGTAATGATAAAGTAAAAAAAAAAAAAAAAAACATAGACAAATTATGTGACAGTACAAAAAATTTCAGGTCTTAAATGTGGCTTACAAGGCCTTCCCCTGATCTGAACTCGAATGGCTGACCATTATTATTAATTTTTGTGTCATAAAAAACAGTTTTTTCTTCATTGAGAAGCATCGCCTTGTAGTGGACATGTAACAGACTGTCTTGAAGAGGGCAATCCATGGGAAAGTCACCTAGTTGTTATTTCAAGAAACATAGGGATATTTTAGCAAAATTAAAATGAAAATGTAGCACAATATTATTTACAGTAAATAACTAAATAAGGGAAATGCTAATCAAATACATATAACAGAATCATATTTACTAAAATTTGAGCACAGCACCTCTTCCATCACGTAATCGGCGTTTAATTAGTCGTCCATCTCCAAGCACATCTCGCACCTGAAAATTCCGAAAGTCATCCCAATAAAATTCAACTAAAAAGATGCCCACAAAAAAAAAAATNGATGCACAAAAAAAAAAAAAAAAAAAAATATCATGTTAATGAACAATCCTAAAGGCAAAAGACACCAACTTTACCTGAACAAAGTGCACTAAGTCCACTTCAAAGTGGATTTCGGCAATATCGTCAATTGAGGGAATTAGGGGACTTTGAGTTAAATAATCCTTTGTTACGTAAATCACCGCCTTTTCTCCCCGTGACATTGTTCCAATTCCCATTTCAAGACCTTTTGGAATCTGATCAGAAAGAAGAACAACAGAGGTATCTAAATTCGTATCCTTTCCTTTTCAAATCACAATGTATTTTACCGAAATCTTAAATAAAAATTCAAAAGTAGGCCAAACTGTGTGGACAATATGGTGTGTACCTCAGATTTTCCAAATGTGAAGAAGAATGGTTCTCCTTGGGTATGTGAAAAAATCGTTTTTCCATCAGCTGACTTCCCTGAAATCCTAGAAGAATCGAAGGTAAAGTATTTTCATAATCAAAACAATAATGCAAAATAATAAAAAGAGATGAGAAAGCTAAAAACAAGTTAAATACCAAGCTTTAACTTCATAGGGTTCCCTTGGTTGTTCCCAGCCTTGCCCTTCTTCTTTTACCTTCTTCAAGACACCCAAATCCTCAGTGATGATCTGAAAATTTGAAAATCAACATTCAAGTTAGCAAGGGGAAAATAATGTGAGGAAAATAAAATTTTCAAAGTGAACAAACTTTTGAGCAAGGTAAGAACTTTCCCACAAAACAGAAGAAAAATGGATATCCTCAAAATAAAATTGTAAAAACTTTCCCACAAGTGTTGTAACTTTAGAAATCCCACAAACTGTGAGATCATTAAAATATGGCAATCACAAGAAAATATTTTGGGTGCATTGCCTTCAAGAATTAGAGTTAAAGTATTACAGAACTAGATATAACTATTAATTAGTTAAGTATTTGATTTAGAAATAAGAAAAAAACATCCTACCTTGACTTTAGAGAAATCAATCAACTCAATCTCAAAATGAAGTTCGTCGTCCTTGGGAAAACCATCGGCAACTGCCACAGGGCAATCCTCTTCACCATAATGCAGCTCAGGTTTCACCCTGAACTGGAATAAAGTACAAATCAGGCAAATATTATAAGCTAAATGCAAACCAAATCAAATCAAATCAACTTCACGAGTATTCTCCTCGACTTTCTATACTGTCCGAAATGCAGTAAAAGCAGCAACATCGTTTGGCTCATTTTGAACTAAAATTTACCATTGCAACTTCACCACTTAACATCGTGGGAATGCCTTCCAACAGTCCCAATAACATCTTGCTTTTACCCAAAACCTGCCTTTTTGGGATACCTTTGCCTATAAGCAGAAAATGTGACCATAATTACTGGAATATCTGAAGAAAAAAAAAAGTTCACACTACATGAAGTCTTAATAATTATGAAAAGATCACTTTTTTTTTTTTCTTATAACTTACCCCCAAAATCTGCTCGAGTGGACTCGACAACAACGCCGTCGAGTGTTCGAACTGTGCAGTGATATACAACCTGCAGAAATTAGCTCAAATCTGCTAAAATTGATCATTGCTTAAANTTGTATTCTTGCTCGGAGTCTTCAATCACGGCCATGTTATCACTTTTTAGAGCAGAATTTGCAGCAAAGTTTGCTTTTTTCAGCTCAATCTTGGGTGATGAGTGAAGGGGTGAAAAACCCTATGCAGCAGGCAATAGTGGGGATTAGGCGAACGAATTGATCAACAAAATTAGGTGAAAATTCGTTGGCAAAATTGGACCTGCTCTTTGATTTTAAATTTCCAACTGGCACTTGATCATTTGTTCTAGACATTATCATAAACTCAAAATATATTGAATTCACTAAATTAATGTTTCGACAATTATACTATTTTCAATAATTACTTATATTCCTTAATTTAAAAATAACGTAAAAAGTATGAAATCTATTACTATATAATACGGAGAAGAAAAATTATTTGAACAATTCGAAAATAATCATTTCGTTTTCCCGCTTCAATATAGTGTTTTCCCGCTTCTTCAATTCGTAAAATTTTTTTTTGAATTTTTTCAGCCCATGCAATTAGGAAACCAATCAAATCGAATCTTTTAGCATTCAATTTGGTAAGGTGTTCTGATTTTAGCATTCAAATTCGATTTCACTTCCTTTTTTATGCCAATCAATCCAATTTTTTTGGTTGTTTCAAAATTTGTTTAGGTTTATATTTTTATTTTATTAATATATTTGAAAGAGAATTAATAAATGTTTATCATAACTTTTATTTTAAAAATAAATTTGAATAAGCATACCTTTTACTTTATATGAAATTCAAAATTACATATTTTAATATATTAATAAACATTTATTATTTATTTTTTCCTTATGTGATATAATAGAATTTCGGTATTAAATTTGTAAATTCAAACATTTAAAGGAAAAAGATTCCAAACAATTTTTTTGGTAAATTTCATTTTATCTTGGTTTTCATTATCACATTTCTAACAAACTAATTAGTATTATATTTTTTTATCTACATTATCTAACCGATTTTTTATGATACAATTAATATAATATCTTAACAAATTAATCATTTGTCTAACTGGATTTATCTCTCTAACAAACTTGTCAATTTTTTTAAAATTAAAATGGTATGATTATTCTTATGGAGATACTTATCAATATATTAAATATTTAGAAACTTTTTTTAAAAAATGAGTTATTCCTCCTTTTACTTTATTTGAAATTCTGACTTATATTTTTAAATATATTATTATTTATTTTTTTACATGTAAATATTTATTATTTATTATCTAAGTAATAAATATTTATTATTTATTTTTTCCCTTACGTGATATAATGTAAATTTGGTTAATAGATTTTTAAATTCAAACATTTAGGAAAAAACCACAAACAAATTTTTTGGTTACATTTCATTTTATTTTAACTTTCATATAATCACAATCCTAACAAACTAATTAGTATAATATTTTTTTACCCATTTTTATATAATCGGATTTCTTAAAATATAATTAATATAACATTTTAACTATTTAATCATTTGTATAACTTGATTTAACTCATTATCAAACTTGCCAAATTTTTTTTGAAATTAAAAAAATTTGGAAGATTTTTATTTGTAAAAGAATAAAAAATAGCTTTACTTTAAAGTATGGATTATTTCCATTATTTTTTGTACGTTAACAATCATATATTTTGGATTATTGATTTAAAAAAACAAATCAAAACCGTAAGGTTTAATAATATTTCTTAACTAAAAAATATTGTATAAAGAAAAGTATTTAATATTATATATTTTTCATTGATTGTATTTATTTTATTTTCATAATAGACGAGATGTGAAAAATATAAATAATTATATTTAAAATAAAGTCTAAAAAATGTTCAAAATATGAACTCTTCCGTGCATCGCACGGGATATACACTAGTTACTTATATTAAGGGCATCCACAATGCTTAAATTATTTGAGCGTTTAATCGCCAGCATGGCGTTCAACCTGGTTGTGGCATCCATTAATATATTGGGCCCACTATCGCGTTCAATTAACAGATTTACCGACGAGAGTCTTAGTTGGCCTAGCCCTCGATGCAGCTAACGATTTAAACTGTGAAAAGAAAAGCAAGCTCAGTCCGGTTCGGTCCAGCGTATGGGTACGGTATGAACCCTTACTTTCTTTTTTTATTTTTTATTTTTTTTGTTTAAAATTAATTATTTAATCATATTATTATTCTTTTATGTATTAACTAGTATTTGCATTTGCACAATGATGTAAATAAAGTATTATGAATTATTTATAAACATATAATATTAAAATTATAAGTTAGATAATGGTATTATATTTTAAACATAGAGTATTATAAATTATATTTATACATATAATATTCAAATTATAAGTTAGATATTACTATTATGTTTAATATTTAATCATTCGTTAAAATAAATAGCACTTAATGATTTGATTGCATATGAATCACTATATGGATTGCATACAATGTAATAAATAATATAATTTTTGTAATTATGAGAGATTAAGACCAATTAATTAGCTGAATAAAATATTAAATTTATTATAACAATTGCTTATGCAATTTTAAGGAATTTTACTATGACATAAAATAAATTGATTTATTTAAAAAAACAATCACTTAATCAGATAACAAATATAATATTGATTTTGGAATAAATAACTTGAACATAAAGGTTTTAAATACGTTATTTTTTGTTTATGTATTTTTCATATATCATTTAGTGTAAAGTATAATTATGAATTTTAAGAATAAGTATTATATGATACAATAAAAGATATAATTATTACCCAATTAATATAAAACATAACGTTTTTCTCTTAAATTAACCAAAAAAGGAAGTGCAAGAAAATATTTTGACCAAATGGGATAGGGTTAATGTAATAATAATAATAATAATAATAAAATAATAATAATAATAATAGATTGTAACAGTTATTGTATTATTTTTTTTCACAGTAATTTGACCTTAATTGTTGTTTGAACATTGACTCGTATATCACTTCATATTATGTTAATTAAGACAAACTAATAATTAGAAATATAAAAAAATTACTGCAACTTTTATTTTTTATTTGGAAATATAAAGTATATAATGATTAACGGTTTTTCTTTCACTTCTTTGCAGGCCAAATTCACAATTAAAGGAGCTGAAATATTTTATTTTTTAAATTGTGTTTATCAGATAGGATTAAAGTATGTTTTGATATGTAATTTTTTTGGTGAATTATTTATTATTTTCTTTAAGAATTTCAAATACGTTTTTTATTTTCCAAAAAAAGTTAATTTAAATGTAACCACAATAATAACATCTAATCACATTATACGGTCAACACATTATATTTTCAATTTTCAATAATCAAAGGTTTAAAATGATTTTTGTAATTTTGAAGTTATTAGTGTGTTGAATATCTAATAATTAAATGAAAGGTTAAATAAATCAGAAGTAACGGTTTTTAGAGGAAAATGGTTAGATTGCCACGTAGGTAAAATTTATTAACTTTTATTAAATGCTATTAGCCAGTAATTATATATATATATATATATATGTATAGATTCATTTTATGGCTAGAGATTAGGAGAGACGAATAAAATTGTAAACGCCTAACAAACACCTTACGACGTCGTACTTGTTATACTATTTATATTTTCCTCGTTTTAAAATAGACACTTGAATTTTTAATGCTATGTTCCAAAAAAGGAAAGTTGTTTTTTCTTTCTTTTTTGTCGGCATACATTTTTTTTTTTTTTATCAAATATGCATATTACAAAAAATCATAAGCTACAATAAATATTTAATAGAATAAGTATGTATTTTTATTTAAATAGCATGATGTGTCAACTCAACTTAACGGTTCTAATTAGGCATACGAATTTGTGTTTTTCCCTTATTTGGCATCACTACAACTGAATTTGAATAGAATGACATGGGACTGGGTTGCAAACGAGACGAGCTTAGTCGAGCATTGGCCTTATCGAACATAATTGATTTTTTTTTTTCAGTTGCTCGAACTTGAGCTTGAGCTCGTCGGGCTCGATTTATGAAGCTCGAGCTCGAATCGATAAAAAAGTGCAATTGCTCAAGCTCGCTCGAAATCAAAATGCTCGAGCTCGGCTAAAAAAATTTTAAGTAGAAAAATAAAATTACCATTAAGCACATATACTATACTATTGTAATATATATAAAAGGCATTTTAGTAATTCAGTATATATCTCGAGCCACTCGATAATAAAAAATATGAGGTCAAACTCAAGCTCGAAGTGAACTTTGACTCGATTGCTCATTTGCAGCGATGGGATTAGACATGGCCACGGGCCGAACCGGCCCGTGATCCGGCCCGGACCGGCTCGTAACCGGCCCTATAAGGGCCGGTCCGTAAGACCAAACCGCAAGGGCCGCGGTTCGGTCCAGGTTCAAAAATAAAAAAAATGGTAACGGCGGTCCGGGCCGGACCAGGTCGGGCCACGGGCGGACCGCCGGCAACGGTTCTGTCTCTTTTTTTTATATATATATATGTCGGGTCAGGCCGGGTCAATCGGACCGGACCGGACCGACCCGGCGTCAGAATCCTGCAGCGTGCCAGCGCCCATACCGCCAGATGATCTATCCGTTGGNCCCGGCGGCTCCACGAAATAAAAAAAATAAAAAATTAAAAAAATTAAAAAATTCAGAAAAATTTAAAAAGAAAAATTTAAACCTCATTTTTTCCCTATAAACCCCCTCCCCTCCACATTTTTTACACCGAAATCTCATTCTCTCTTCTCTCTAATCTCTATTCTCTATTCTAGTCTCTCTCTTACTCTATATTCTTCTCACTCGGTTTTTAGTGATCGGTTTTTAGTTTTGTGTTCGGTTTCCAAAAAAAAAATCAAAAAAAATAATAAAAATCCAAAAATAAAAAAAATACCACATCTCCCCATTTATATTTATTTCATCATATTCTATATAATTTTCCCCAATTTATTTTTTACTCTTTAAATTATAAAATGCCGAGCTCTCGTGGTGGTCGTGGTTCGAATTTCGGACAAAAACGTAGAAATATCGGCACCGGCCCATCTTCGTCGAGACCTCCATTGGCGGAATTTGCGAGTCCATCGATACATGTGGATATTCCCGGTGTCGCCGATGACATTGATGAGGCGACGATCGAGCGCATGTTTGGCTCAATTCAGCCTGAGCAACAAGAGCAACAACAGCCGTATCACGACCATTTCGATGATATATTTGGAGAGTCCCCGCCGGAGGTTCAGCAACCGACGCAGCAGCAACAGCCGGACCCGGAGGTCCCGGACCCAGGCCACCCGGCCTCTGCCTTCGCCCGTCCCAGACCAGCATCTACCATATTCAAACAACATTACACGAAGGTGCCCAATTTGAAAAGAGGTGAGAATCACTTTTTAGCTGTTTGCAACTACTGCCCGGCGAACGACAAGAAGCAGTACCATTTCAAAAAAGGCGACGGGTACGGATCATTGAAACGACACTTAGAGAGGAGTCATCCGACAAAATTGGGAATTGACAGGGCACAGGCGCAACTCCCGAGTAGTAGCGCTGCATCTACAACGATTGGTACAGGTACGCCATCTTTATTTCAGTACTCACATGAAAATCATCGACGCCATCTAGCTAAATTTGTTTCTGCTTCATATCTTCCGTTTAGCTTTGGTGATAGTGATTTATATGAACATTTTTGCTCAAATGGCTTTGAATCCGGCTGCCCACCGGGTTCCACGTACTACTCTTACTCGTGATATTCGAAAAATAGTAGCGGAAAAAAAAAGTAATTTTGCAAGAAACTTTTAAATCTTTAAATCATAGAGTATCCATTTGTGCTGATATCTGGTCTGATCATTGGCAAAATAATTTCTATTTGGGAATTAATTGTCATTGGATAGATGAAAATTGGAGTTTACAAAAACGTTTAATTGCTTATGTTGCATTTCATGAACGACACACTGCTTCTAATATTGCTCGTTTAATTTCAAAAATTTTGGATAAATATCAAATAGGTAAAAAAGTGTTTTCCATTTCGTTTGATAATGCTACTGCAAATACTGCATCTATACGTGAACTTACCGATATTTGCACTCTAATTTGCGGTGGAAGATTTTTTCATATTCGTTGTATATGTCATGTCTTAAATCTCTGTGTACAAGCTGGTTATCATGCTTTTAAAGATTCGGTCACGCCAATTAGGGACGCTGTTAATTATTTACATAAACGTCCCCATGAAATGAAAGCATGGGGACGTTTTTGTAAAGATCAAGGGGTGAAACCTAAAAAATTTCAATCGGACGTTCCTAACCGGTGGAACTCAACATTTAAAATGTTGAGTGACACGGTTCCGTTTATGACACAATTGCAGAATTTTTTTAACCATTCAAACCGTAAGGATTGTGATGTCCGAGTGTCAACAAGAGATTGGGAGAACTGTAATGCACTTATTCAATTTTTAGAAACATTTCAAAATGCTACTAACATGCTTTCAGGTGTTTATTATCCTATTGCTCAGCTTGTGTTAGGTCAAGCTATAGCCATAATGTGGGCTTTCAAGGATCTTTACAACTTGAATTTTAATAAATATGGCTATTTAGTTGAGGAAATGTTAAAGAAATGGTTAAAATATTATTATTTCATTCCTGATACACATTTAGTTGCATGTTTGTTAGATCATTCGGTACGTGAAGCTCGCTTAGTAGAGCAGCTTAACATGTATTATAATTATATGTATAACTCCCAATCCCGACTGATGTCCCAACATACAGTCAAAAACCTAACGTACTGCTGCTCGTCGAGCAAGCAAAAAATTTGTTGTATGACATGTTTAGGGAAACAGCGATTGCACAAGGTGAACCTCCCAACACATTTGTTCGTGGCAGCGGGGGCAGCAGCAGCGGGTCTTCTTCTTACGGCGGTAGTCAAGTAAGCGCTTCAAACTTTCAGGAGTGGTGGGCATCATTAAATCCCTACAAGAATGTTGGCGTTGAAAGGACAAAGGGAACTGGATACTATGAGCTTGATCACTACCTAACGTCGAATTTGATACTTACGATTGCTCGTGAACCAAGTCCGCCACTCAATTTCGATGTCTTGGACTGGTGGTCGAGAATGCAAGGCATATATCCTATT